CGATCCTGCCAGGAGTCGAACCTGGAATCTTCTGATCCGTAGTCAGACGCGTTATCCATTGCGCCACAGGACCGAGCTGCCATCCAACGAATCCGACTTCTATAAAATCTTAGACTCATATAAAACACACTAGACCTTTATTAATTGACAATAAAATTTATATACTCTACAAATGTGTTTAGAATTATCTTTTATTAGCTTGCAAGTTTTTAAAATAAATATAATAGAAATATCGACAATCTTTTGAGGAGAAAAACTTTTTTTTTAAATTCTAGAGCGGAAAACCTGAATGGCACACACTGATATTCCTGCTACGCCGCACGTACAGCATGCTGGAAGGCGTCCGGAGCCCACGCCCACACAGAATTGGGGCTAATGGTACATTGCTTTGTTGCATGCAATGCACACAGATTCGGTTTATAATTAGCTCCAAAGAAGTTTGGCGCGGTAAACACATTGGCTTTATGTTGCGCCAACAGCGCGCAGACTGCGCTCTGCATTCTGCCGTCCGCACTCCGCAGAGCCGCATCAACATTACAAAACAAGTGAGAATCATAATCGTAGCAAATAGGCGACGAATTAATACCCTGTGAAGTTAATGTAATATAAAAAAGTGTTCCGAATATAATAGATATATGCTCGACCTGAAGATACCTGGTAAATTCCCAGATTACTTAGATTACTTAGCGTTAGTATATACTTCACATTTGGATTTCTAAATGTCTATAGCCAAATCGTGTTTCAATCGAGCCTCTATATTTCCTCTTAGAGGTCATCAAAATACAAATAACGCACGGACAACAGAAACGAAAATTGTTTCGAAAAATGTTCACGAGCAATACGAAAATAGCGCCACGAGGCGTTGGCAGCCCGAAATACACATACGAAAAAAGTTCTCCCGAAAGCCTGATTGAAATTGTGAAAAACTAAATATTTTCCGAGCAGTTCAGCGTGCAATGAGCAGCCGTGCGGAGTGCAACGACAACGAAAATCCGCGTAAAAATGCTATCAAAATATGTGCAAAAAACTGTGCAACATTGATATGTAAACATTTTTAGAAAGCAAATAAAATACACAAAAAAAAAAAAAAATAATAATAATAAGAGAAGAGAGGAAAAGAGAAGAAGAGAAAATAATAATAGCAACAGAAAAGTATAAAAGTAAATAACAAACAAAACAATTGTGAATGCAAGGCTCTTGCACTCGCTAAATGATTTCGTGCACACTAAATAACAAACAAAAAGTTGTTTTTCTGATCACGAAAAGCATTTTGGACAACGCCTAACTAAATGGCCGGAAGCAAAATACAGCAACAACAAATATTGCCAAACAGGAAAACAAAAACGTGCCGTGTGCGCGATTTTCGATTTGATTTTTAAGTGAAAGACAGCTACACAAAAAAAAAAAAAAAAAAAAAAAAAAAAAAAAAAAAAAAAGGAGCACTCTATATGGAGAGCGAGCTGCAGTTCGCTCCGTTTAGCGCATTTAAGGGATTTGCATTATTTAAAACAAAGCTCGAGCTGGATTAAAACGTTTGCCTTGGACCAAGTCACTTTAGAGAGTGCATCAAAGCCTCTTGCATTTGCCGGACCTTTTGCAAATCAAAACGACCTTCTCCGGCTCATCTCATCTCTGCTCGCTTCCGGCCGTAGTTTTAAAGCAGTGCCCTTCAGTGGGCTCCTGTTCACAGCCGCAAACGCGTCGAAACACGTCGGCAGACAGCGTTGTGTTTATTTGCTTTGCTGTCCACTCTGGGCTGCAGTCCGACCACATGGCGTATACGCAACGTGTTTTTTTTTTTCACTCTCTCTCTCTCCCTCTCTCTCTTTCCTTCTCTCTTAGTATTGGCTCGGCTTCGGGCAAGCGGTGGACTATGTTATGCTCTGTCGGCTTAGTTCGTATTGTTGTTTACGTTTTAAAGCAATTTAAGTTGGACGCCTGCAACAAAGCGGCCCAATTAGAGCCTGAATTCAGTCCATCTGCAGTTACGAATGCTTATTCCACCTGTCTCTCATGCTTTATTTCTCTCTCGCACTCTCTTTATGACTTCTTAGGTTTATTTATCTGCATTGCTAGGATGACGCATTTATGGGCTGCTCGTCCGGCAATTAAGCATTCTTCCGTCTGATAAGATAGTCAAGCCCACAGGTATTGTGTGGGGGGTGTGTGAGTTTGCTCTTATCGGCCATGATGTTAACCCATATAAATATAGAAAAGCGTAATTTAATTTAATGCGGCCCAGATAATGTGCCCACTGATGTCTCAAGAACTTTTTAAATATTTATAATTCACACTTGATCTACAAATACCAAAAGAAAAGAAAGAGACTTTAAACCCCAGCGGATTCAGCAATGTGCGGAATTCGGTAGTTGAGTCTCATAGCTTCTTATTACAGTCATACTGCTAGACTGCTCTGAATAGATTCAAATACACATTGAGATAGCATGTTTATCTAGTCATGACTGTAATCTAGTTCAAGGTAAACATAGTGACATTGAGGCTGGAAAACAGTACACTAAATAATTGATTTAAATATCTAAGATGAAAAGTAGTTATTGTGTTTATACTTTTTAATAAACATGAAATAAATAAGAGCTTTTGTCAATTAATTATTAACGTATTTAATTTCCCAAGAACTGTCTGATCACCAAATAGTGAACCGAAATAGCAAAATAGATTTAATTTCGTATTGACAACCCATAATAAAATTTGTAGTTGATAAGCCGATTCTTCGTGAAGGTCAATGATATAATATAAGCTATTACCCGATAGAATAAAGAGAGAATAAAATAAGACACCTGCCCAGAGCGAAAATGCAGCTGACGACGGCAACAAGTTGCGAGTCGGAAGAAAGAAAAAACGAACTGACAGCAGGCTAGGCGGAACAATGGGAAGCAAATACCCGGCAATATTCATGAAAATATATAGAGATGTATATAAACACATAACTATACGGCAGCAAAGTGGGCAAAAACTTGGCAAAGAGGAAAATATGTACAAAAAGTTTACACACTACAAAAATGTGCTAAGCGACAGTAGGAAAAAGCATTTTCATTCCCTTACCACATAAAAACCGCAAACCGAGAGCGAAAAGAAAAAAGAGAGAGAGAGAGAGAGAGAGAGAGAGAGAGAGTGATAGACCGAGTAGCAAACAAATTATTTTGCAATTTATTTTTATAACTAAACAGGCAAAGATACAGATAAAGATACAGATAGAACTACAGAGCAGCAGCAACTAGTGTATTTGTATCTTTCCCTTTTCAATTTTTTTTATGGGTGATTTATTTATAAATAGAAAAACGCTCGCGACTGCTGGCGCTGGCACTGGTACTGGCACTGGGCTAGCCTGACAGACTCGGAGACTCGAGTCAGAGTCGAGTCGATCGGCGACAAGTCGTGCCGGCCCCTTCGCATTGCCTGCCCCTGCTGACGGCCCAGCTGCCAGCTATCAGGCAAAACACATTTATAATTGAGCGCCCAAGAGCGCAACACACATAGGCAATAACCAAAAGCAAAAAGCCAAAAGCAAACGAAAAGCAACAAAGGAACAGAAAATTATTGGCAACGCGAAGCCCCAAATCAAATAATGTGGCGCAGGCCAAAAACAGTTTGATGCTAAACGCTCGCTCGCGATGACGATGACACAATAGCACGCAATCAAAAGGCAGCCTCAACCCCAGCCACAACCCGCACCAGTTCAATGAAATAACCCAGAAAGTTAGCTACAATTATTTTTCTAATATTACGCATACGCAACGTGTATTGATCAACAAGTTAGGCAGAAATATAAAGTAGCCCAAATAATCCTGTGTCATTTCGCCTAAGTGTGAAGCAGAACCACAAATAAAAGAGAGCGACAAATAACAACACAAATATATCAAAATAAACCACACAACAACAAAATCTCTCGCTGTGAAGTGAAGTTCTGTCAAAAGAAAAAATCATTTATTTTTGCCACAACGCAAAAACGAAATGTTTTGTGTTATAAAAAGAAATTCGTACGAAATATTATAGATACCAGCAAAAAGCTTCGAAGTGTGTGCAAACAAAAAACGCTCATAAATATATTGAAAATATATATTGAATATATCTATACCTATACCCATATTCGTATACATTTATTGTAAAGTACAAGCCGCCAAAACGGGCACTCGTCTACGTGAACCCAGCGCCAAGGGACGCAGCCAGAGAAAAATGATCTACATAGATGACTCAGAGCCGGAAGGCGGTAAGTCACTAAACTAAATACGTTAGTTACCAACTAATTGAAGGAATAATACATACACGACCATACATATATGTGCCATAGTTGAAGTGAGATATTAAAACAAGAACGCGCATACGTATATCAGTATATCAGTGTATCAGTGACAAGTGATAAATGATAAGATAAGGTCTGCTAGCGTTTCGCCTTAAAAATATCGAACTTTATATATGATGTATACATATATATGTGTATGTAGACATCTGTATACATCTGTACCCATGTGCACCTATCTGCTGATATGCCGGCAAGTAATAGGACGCTGATAACAGCTGTAAATTGGGCATTAGAAAGCTTTTACAAAACTTTTCGACTAGTTTATGGCGGACAATATTTTATAGAATCTACGGCGAATAGATCTTATCTGTTCAAGTTGGGACAGACCAGCGTTATGCGAATTCTATTTAAAGTTTCTGACTGTGTGTTGCCTCTAAAAAGCGAAGATCAAGGTCAATCTATTTATGTACAATTGTAAAAATGTTAATAGTATTCTTTATGATTTTAAAGATTTTAATTTCATACTATATAATCAAGTAATTCTGTCTAAAGAAGAACAATTTAACTAACCGATTCACTGCACATATTTTCTCATTGAGAAGGCTAAATCATATCGGATTTGTATTAACACAATAATATTGATTGCAACTTCTAAACTTATTTAGCACCAAACATTTTACTAGTTAATAGCAATCAGTAGTTGTGGTTTCTCTTTTCCTTCATATTCACTGGGGGGTTCCCAACCATCTGTCAAGGTCACAAGAGAAATCGGCAGTCCATAAAAAGAGATAAGAAATTTTTGAGTTGTTAATCAAACAAAATTCTTATAGAGTGAAACTACATTAATGAAAAGAGCCAAGCATTGCTATTTTTCCTCTGCGTAAGAAAACTTCTTATCCATTCGTTGCAAGCCTTGGTATGAAGCTAACAAGGCAACAAACGGCACACAGACAAATCAAATCAAGGCGAATCTATAGATTAGCAGCTGTTCCATTTCGGGCCCATTGGCAATTTAGATATCGGCTCCTAACGACGCTTTAATATAGGTCTACGATACAATAAACATTTGTGCGCCATGATGCAAAACATTAACTTTTATGCTCAGATAAACGTCAAAAGCCGAAAGCAAACAACATCGAAATATCTGTAAAAATCAAACGAAAATAATTTTAACAAAAAACAAAACAGAAGACAAAATACAGAACGAATGCTTAAACGATTTACAGCCAATGCGGCTCAGCACCAAATGGCCAAGGCTTTTAAAAATACATGAATTTCAATAAAAAACGACAATGGAGCCGGCAGACAACAAAAAACGAGCAGAGGAAAAGGGTCCATAGATAAGAAGGGCTCTGATCAGGAAACGTTTGCGCCGCCATTTTCATTGTCAGAAACAATAAATTTCACGCATAAAACACTGAGAGCAAATGGTATTCACTTTGCTTTTTTCGCTCATTTTTTGCCATTCATATTAACGTTTGGGCGCCGGCAACGAGAAGGCGCTGAAGGATAAGCGTCAAACGTGAATTCAAAGTGGGAAAGGGGGTCCTGGGTATGCGCAAGTGTAACTACAGTGGCTCAGCTTTGAAATTTCACACTGGCTTAGAAACCGAAGACAATGTCAGGATGACTCAAACCGAAACGGAAGTGTCAAGTAGTTGGATGAGCGGCACAACAGAAAACGGAAAAGACGGCAAAGAGGGAGAAAAGAGAGATTGTGAGACAAAAGTCAGGCTGAATAAAGGCAAAAGCGTGCAGCTTGAAAAATGGTAAGCGCGAAGCAATTTGAAAAATGAAAGGGGCAACGGTTTAAAATGAAACGAGTATGAGCATTGCAGGCAATATCTAACGACTAAGAAATACCCTACAAAGCATGCAATACTTTATTTTAGCTGTACTCTAGAGTGTGGATGCTCGATGATCCCAAAGCAACAACAAAATATATTGCTTTATCTAAGTAATAAATTTAATATATTAATATATATTTTTAGATTTAAAATTTAGGTACACGAATAATAATACTAATATATTGTATAAACATAACAATAATTTCAACCGAATTTAGTCATATTACTTAAACGAACGCACATTCCAGGTTATACTACCTAGTCCCCAGCTAGCTAAGTGTATCTTAACTGCGGTATGTGTGTTTGCGTTGGCTTTTGTGTTTTTGTTTTTATACCCTGAACCCATTGAAAATGGGAAATCAGGGTATAATGGT